ATTTATTGGGATTCCTCCCTACTTCAAATGGGAGGAGCTAAAGAGGTTTTGTTCTGGTTCAGCTATGATCTCTTTATCCTTTTTTCTTTTCCCCCCACCCTGTATTTCTGTGCTTTTTAACTGTCTTTAACTGGACACACATGGCCAATGGCAGATATGAAGCACTGTGGATCACTACAGCTATGGGTAAATATTTTAGAGAATCAGGAATTTAATTTCAGATCACATTACTCCAACATCTCTGCCCTTCCTGTCACTTCACCTGCTTGTAACCATTAGAAAGCAGAGTGTCATTTCTAAGCCGTAGCTGAGCACTAAAAGCACCATGCTGGCCTTCCCTGGATCTACTTAATTAGAGATTAGCAGAAACAAAGCATAGGGAGACTATAAACATAATTTTTCCAGTTTATCAGCAAACAGGTTTGGGTTACCAAAGAGATAAGAGTAAGGCTGCTGTTTTATCTGTGCAGCTGGACCCGTGAGTTTACCTTCACTGGGACCACACCTCCATCAGAATTCCCTCTGAAATGTCAGCATGAACCACAGCATTCATTTTCCAAGTTGCCAGCCTTTAGTGCTGCCTGCATCATACACTCAACATTTTGGAGTGTTTCTCTTCGTACAAGAACATGCTCCACGAGCCTCATGATATCCAAACTCTGTTACACAGGCTGCTCACATGTCACAGAACAGATGCTCGCCACAGCATCCATGAAGAGGCCAGAGGGTTGGACCTTCTTAGTCCCAGAAAGTCCACCAAATCAGTATCCACCACAAAGGCAGAGAGGGGTCCCCCAAAGCATACCTTAGTGTGAATAAACCATTTCATCAGGAGTCATAGCATACAGCTACAATAAAACAGAATAATTTGATCATGAACTTAAGTTTAATTTCAATCGGGAAGAAGAGAAGAAAACGCCTTGGAGTAGAAGACAGCCGTTCCCATTTACAGCTCCTCCCAATTAAAATGTTTTATATAGATCATCAGAACCTAATGCATCGTACACGTTCCACAGCGTGCAACATAAGGCTGCTGGTCTGTCATGTCTCTGTAAGAGCTCAGTGTGATGAATGATCTGGGTACTTGTCTCTCTGGTATAAAAGCAGGAAAAGCTTTGAGACAAAGAAATAAAGGCCAATGCATATTACACATCTTACAGTGCTTAATATCATTCTTCCTGAGTCACACCTCTGAAAACAGTTAAGGTCACTATTTCTCGTTTATTTTGAATGTGGATTTCAGCATCAGTATCCTCCAAATCCTTGGGAGAATTTCATTTAAAACAGAAACAGGAACATCAGGAACACAGAGCATTTGGGCTACAACAAACAATGCCACACCAGCATGTCATAAGAAAAATAAGTGACCTTCGCTTTTGCCTCTGCTGACAAACAGACACACGTGAAGCCGCTTGCAGGCCAGGATGTTAGTGTGATTTCTGGAAGACAATCTAATAGATAAAGATTTAAGAGTTTAAAAAAAGCAAAAGAAAACAAACCTGACTACTGATTGCCAGAACTGAAAAACCTGCCTTTCCAAATCAACTAATGGTTTGGCAAGCCCATGTGAAAGGCAGACAAACAAATAGCATCTTTTCCTTTTAACATGGAATCTGCAATAAGAGAAAGAAATCAGCATTTTATTGATTTCCATTATGCCATCTCTACAGCTTAACAAACTCACTCAGCTGCTAATGCTAATTCACTGATGCTATGGAACCTTCCCATATAATTATACACCCTCCACTTCGCTGAGCCCCAGGGCGCTGTTTCTAACTTTCCAGAGGACCACTGCACCAAAAGTAGAAACAAAAAAAATATCTCTTTCATTACCCAAAGCAAACTACAAACCAAATTTTGCTTATTTAAATGGGAAGTTAGAGAGACTTGATTTTTAAGACAGGGAATAATCTGCCAGTCTGCCTATATTTTCAGATGTGATTTCATGACAACCAATTCCCATTTAAGCTCTCCCCACCTCTATTCTTTTTCTTCCTCAGAGCATACAAGAATACAATATATAAATATTGAAACAATTTTGACTTCTAGGGAGAAATTCTAAAGTCCTTCTCAGCTCAGAAGGGTTTCAAGAGGGTGATTCGGAATCAGACATGGAGACTTTTGTGAATGTCACTACACTTAAAATTGTAAAAAAATTATAAAATGTTACCATTGCTACAGGGATGTATATTTCAAAGGTATTTTTATTAATCTTTTCTTTTAAAAAGACAACCCTGGAATGGAACAGCTTCTAAACGAAATTTAAGGAAGATATCTTCTCCAAGTCTAAAATCAAAAATGTCCTAAATAATTAATGAAGTATATTCTGCTATTTTTCTCCATTTCCCAAACAAATTCAATCAGGCAGCTCCAGTATATTTTAGTGAGGGTTTTGTTCAGTATGGGACAGCAGAATTTGGCCTGATTGATCTAGTAATGTCTGTCTGGAAAAAATGTAATGGAACTCTGCAGTGTAAACACCCTCCCCGAATGACTGTACCTAGAGTCCCCTTTCCTGCTTCCCCTGTTTGCCCAGCCTTGATATTTCAAATCCAACCATACTCGGTTCACCACATCCATCAAGATTCAACGTGCCATTCGAGCTAATATAACTTGATTTTGCTACGGTTTCCCATGCATATATTAACTTGGAATCGGCAAATCTATTTCCTCTGAGAATGGTGAAATGTGTGGATTTTTGTTCAACAAACAAACAAGTTGACAATATCAATATAGAGTTGGAGAGCCTCTAAAAACAATCTAGTTTGCATAATTAATGTTAATTACAATAACATCTCAATCAGTGACACAAAGGCTTAGCAATGAACACAGTCATATGAGGAAGTGAAAACATGAAACAAACATGAAGGGATCTTGTCTTGTTCTGAAAGAGTATCAAACAAACTTTCAAGAGATTTATAAATAAGTACAGAAAGGCAGAAGACAATTCTGCTTTGTTGAGATGTAGTTTCTTCACAGGCTGAGAAGCACAGAGCTTTTTTTCTGAGATTGTAGTAAGACAGTAGATCTGAGCCATGGACCCACCAGATAATATTATCTTTCTACAGCATCACATCCAAGTCATTATCAACTGCTTTAAAGAAAACCAGCCGAGGGGTCCGATCCTTCTGCCAGTGATTTCAATAGCAAACACTTTAACAATGCAACGTGAATGTCTGGGGAGTGGGGGCGGCTCTAGAGACAGAGGGGAATTAAGAAAACAACTCAAACTTGAGCACCGCATATAGGTATGGAGTCCCACAGGCGCAGAGGAATTTCAGGACAAGATAATCAATTTTTCAGCAATCTTTTTCCTACTTTATGTAGCAAAAAACACACGGAAAACTTACCTGCCCTTTTCACTTGGCAGCACAGAAGTCTTAAACAGGATGGGGTTTTTGGTACGGTCACTTAACAAAGCAGATTTACATTTAATCCTCAGAAGTTTTCTTCGTGGCCAAAGGAAAAATAGTTATCCAACACGTTGTCATTTCAAGGAAAGGGAATAAAATAGTTATGAAAAAAAAAAGAAGCGCCACTCTACCTCACCCAGATTGGCACTGTAGTACACAAAGTCACACAAGCATCGCAGGGAGCACTTGCGCAGTAAAGTGCCACTCAGAGTGAGTAAGGGTGGTGTAATTGGGTCTGATGAGGGGAGGAATCACGACTTGTCACGTCATTACTACGGGGGCCTTTCTCAAAACGTGAGCTGCTTGATTACTCCTCGCATTAATGCAAATCTGCTCTGTTAAAGAAGTTACACTGGTGCTAAACCAGTTCCAGAGGAGAAACAGGCCCACTTCACACTGATTCAACAGACCACGGTTGAAGTACCCCTCCCCATAAAGTCAAAAATTAGGAAGTCTTCAGGGTATGTTGGGTAAGTTACCCCTTGGAAAAGGGCTGATTTTCTATTTGATGTCAATATCACAGCTAATTTATTTTTGTTTCCCTCCCTCTATTTATAGATAAAAGCGAGACAAGATTTAGTAAAAAATTAGGTTTCTCTAGAAATTCACTGACCTTCTGCATACACTTGAGTACTCACTGAGTAAAGGACTTATTTACAAGAGTCTTTGTCTTTAGAAAGAGAAACTTTATGTGGAGGATTCCCAGAATGATGCTGGCCTTTCCTCTTAACAAAAGTTATTTTTCAGATGCCTGAGATGGATGATTTTGGAGCCCTGTGAGGTTTGGTAAACCTTCAATTCAGCAATTAGTTTCCATGTGATATAAATTACAAAGATCGAGCAATTAATATTAATAAATAAACCCAGCAGAGTACTGAGGCTTTGGATGCCCTGCGCAAGGAAGCACTGCTGTATTTGCTGGGGTTTTCCATGCCTCTGTTTTATTTTAGCTGTTCTGTACGTACAGAACCACATTCACGTTCTAAAAATACATTGAGAGGGGGAAAAAAAAAAAAAAAAAGAAAAAAGAAAAATCAATAGCAGTGAAACAGAGACATAACCATTTCACATCAAGCGCTCCCAATGCCATGCCAAGACACCAAAACTCCCCGCTGCGGCTTCCCCCTTCCAAACACGCATGTTCTTGCCACGGCAAGTGAAGCCCAGGTAACAGCGAAATATCCAGGAATGACAGGGTGGGGAGGAGGATGGAGCACCTGGAAATACAAAAGGTGGGTTTCCCCGCTTTTCCAGGACGGACAGTGACCAGAGCCTGCCATGGAGGGGTTGTTCGACCCTGGCGGCTTTCGGGATACCCTCACCTCAACCATCACCACAGCCTCAACCAGGGCGGGGAAGAAACCAAAATAAAATCAAAATTACAATCGCCGGCAGCACGACACGCATTAGAAGTTGGCAACGACGCCGGGAGGTTATACCTATTTTTTTTTTTNCCGGGGAGGGGAAGGGCTCGCCCCGCAGCCGGCTGCCGAGCGGGAGGTGGCCGGGGCAGACCGGGGCTGGCCCCGGCGCCGCCAAGGTCGTTTCCCTCGGGAGGAAGGAGAGCGGAGCCGGGGCCTGGTCCGGGGGAAGCCGGGGAGGCCCCGCTGGCGGCGGTGAAAAGCCTGGGGAGGGGGCTGGGAGAGCCTCGGCTTCCCTCGGGACACCGGGGGCTGGAAGTGGGAAGGAGGGGGTTGCCCGTGTTTGACAGGTGTCACGGCTCAAGGTCTTGGTTGTTTTTTAGTTCTGACATTTTTGGAGAACAAAGCACATGCCAGGATCCGGCATGGTGTCAGAATCTGCCCAGGTGAATGAGAAAAATGAGAGCAATAGCACCGGCAGCGCAGTTCCTGTCTCCTGCTGCTGAGGGGGAATTGACAGGTAGGAGCGGCGTCAGTGGTGTAAAAAAACAACACTCTTACCGCAAATGATTAATACCGGAGGAATTTATTTTGGGCACGAGGAGGAAGTAATGCCCAGTAGGAGTTTCCAACAAACACTGGAACCTTACCAATATTTTAATCCCCGTGAAGGAAATGAGATACTCAAATTGTGTTTCACCTCTTCATCTCTACGTACAAACTCTTACACTAAGATCTTCTTTTGGCAGTAAAGGCATAAAACAGCTGATGGACTTCTGTAAGATGATGAGATAACAGAATAAGGGACTACATTGGTGTTTTAACAGGCTGAAAAAATACAATTCTGTTTGCTTTAAAAACTTGTTCCATCAATAGACTGCTATAAATACAGATTATTTTTTTTTCTTATTTTCACATACACAGTAATTGAAGAGGTGAAAAATGGTAACCTGCAATAATTTGTTCATGTTTTTCACTTCAGAAATGGTGGGACTAATTACAGTTCCTTTCCTGCTTGCTTTTATTGAGATTCAAGAGAGTTGGAAGGGAGATTTCAGAGTTCCTCATTTGAAGCAGGAATTGTTAAATCATACACTAAAAAAACCCCAAAAAACGAACAAACAACAAAAAAAACCCACCCTCTCAGATTTGTGTCTTAGCACCTAAGGCTCCATTCTGCCAGCCTTGCCATAGTAAGTGTTGTAAGAAATCCAGGATGGACGGTATACAAATTGCTCTAATGTGGAAGGGGAAGAAAATAAGACCATTAAAGCCATCCTGTGAGAAGGAAAAAAAAAACCAGTGGTGGTAAGGTTTTGTTTTCAGCTAATCATTGGGAATAATGAAGGATGTTTACAAGTGACTCCCATCTTTGAACTGTTAACAAAAGCAGAGAATTTAGGATTTTTCATCTTTTTTTCTCCCCTTGCCATTAGCAAGAGGTTAAAATACTTGCAGGGTTCTGCAGCCTTCAGCAGTGCTCACACTGACTCATGCTCTCAGGCTTCTGAACACTGCACTAAAGGGAGCTTTGCATCAGGTCCTGTGCAATTTGGCAAATAGAATGAACAGAGCATTCACCATTCAATGATAGATGAAAAAATATATATATATATATATATATATATATATATATATACACACATCTCTTCAGAGAGCTGAAAAGGGTGGGAATCTCAGGGCAGACAGTTGTCTTTTTGTAGCTGTACCTTCTTTGACAGCAATAATCAGACAGAACTGAGACAGAAATTAAGCTCGTGAGTTTGGGCACGATTGTTTCTGGCTGGTGAAAGTCTGCAAGCAATCATCCCGTGCTGCTGTACAGCTTTCCACAGGGGCTTTGCACACACTTCCAGAGACAGCAGCTGAGGAAATATGTCATAGCATCACGGCACTGCAGCTTTCCAAATGTGCAGCAGGGTTTTTTCAGGGAAGCAGTTGTATGAAGGCTTTTACTTTTAAAGTCTCCATTTCACAGCTCCAGAGAAAAGTTTGAAAAGGCGGCCTGCCTGCCAAACGTGGTTTCTCTCAGGTGGTTTGGTTTGGGTTTTGCACGTTTGGTTGTTCAGGATTGTGCTTGCTTCAGCTGAATGCAGCTAAGCTACTCCTCAGACTGGGCTTAGAAGTTACAGTGCTTCTACCAAACTGTTTCAGGCATGCTCACAGGTAAACCAGGGCCTCTTAGACGAGGATCAGCTCTGCAGGGATAGCTGGTGTCCCAACTCAGAGATCCAGGGCAGCTCTCCCCCTGTAATTTGTGTGTGGGGTAAAACTGCAGGAAGTGTGTCATGGGTTTGGCTTCACCTGAGAGAACCAAACCACAAAATTCAGAGTAAAAGGAGCTTGGGCAAGCAGGTCTGCTGGAGGTGTGCAGTGTGCCTGTAGCTGGGGTAGGGAGCTTGATGCAGCCCTTCCACCCTTGTGAGCAGGAAGTAATTCCCCCAAAGCTCACAGGTTTGAAGTTTCAAAGCCTGAATTAATTCAGGGTCTGACAAGAGGGCCTGATCGCTCCTTGCTCATCACACCCATGCACATCCCAAGCAGTCAGAAATCTTTGATCCCATGTAGGTGTCCTGCTGACATAACCTTCACTTTCAGCTACATCTTCTAGGGAGCATCAGAAAGCGTGTATCCTGTTGAGGGGAACAGTTGCTAAAAATATTTGTTCTTCTGAGCATAATTGAGATTATTTTGTTGATAGTTTCATACTAAGACCTTGGAGCCTAGCTTTTTTACCGCACCACAGCTGTTTACAAAATAAGATTGTTTAGTTAGTTATTGACCTGAGGGAATACCTTTAAAAACCTGCAAATACTCACTTTTAAGTGAATAAAAGCAGTGAATTTCCTTCATCTATGTTTACTTTTTGAAAACATTCCCATCAATTAGATTAGTGGCTAGAAATGTTTATGGAAAGATTTTTAAGCCTATTTTAGAGTGTATTCATGGAAAGCAAAATTTTATCTCAAAAACACAGTCATCTTCGCAGGTGTTAATTTATGTTCTGGGAATGCAAACCAGTATTACGTGTCTGATTTGTTCAGGATTTGTAGCTCTGCTGTTTATCCAGTCTTGTCTCTTTTTCTGCCACACTGATTCCTAGTCCTCTGCTGTTCTAGGAATGGAGAATTGAACATTTTATATGTTCACTTCACACCTTCTGCATTTCCTTCTTGAACAGAGGGCTCCTTTCTTGAGCAACAATGAAACTAAACCATTATCACAAAGCAAACTTTGGGCCCTGGAATATAAAACCCCTCCCTTCAATATTTAAATTCCTTTGAAAACCATCCTCTGCTGTAGGCCTATAAACATTGTCCAGCTGCAATGAGTTTATCAATTCTTGGAAACCATCTGTATTTAGCAAAGAAATAGCAATACTGTGTGCTGAAACAGAGATAATTCCCATTTTATACATTTAATTTAGATATGGGGTACTTCCGATCCTTTTTCTGTGAAGTAGAGCTGGGAACAAAGGTATATATACCAGTATACCAGTGTAATATGCTTACTTTTTTTAAATGACATTCATCTTTCTAAATAGTTATATGAAAAGTACTGGGTTTATTACAGGACAAAGAATTTAATTGTGTAGTTTGACAGATTGAGATTAATGTCATTGCTACCGTCACATAATCATGCTCATGTGCATTCTCCAGAAGTTTAGCATCACATTCCCAATCCCTTTGCTTTGCAAATGACCAGGAGAGAGGATCCAGAGCTCTTGTTGCAAGAAAACAGACCCTTGTTTACCTGAAGGCAAAAAAATCTGTGATGTTTTATCCCTAAATCATGACATTTATACACATTTGTAAGCTGCTCTTCACCTTGGACTGTGTTGGTTCTATTGGTTGGAACGTTTTCAGCTGTCCAGTGTCTGTCTCCCCACACAGCACTGCCAAACACCAACTTCTCCCATAACTTAAAAACTCAAATTACTTCACTGATATCTTGTAAATGCTTCTGCTCATGCAGCTTTATTGCCTGGTTTACAAACATTCCCAGCCTAATCCATGAATGCATAACACACAGAGTTGCTCGTATTATTCCACTACCAGAAACCACATGACATTTGCTGTATTAAAATATAGTAGTGAACACTTCACTCCTAAGTCCAAGGTCTGAAATGCAGTTTAAATATGGGTTTCTTTTCCCCAACATGTATTGTAGAAATTAGCAGAACTTTAATGTAGAGCTCTGAAATGCCTAAAGGGTGCTTGTGTGCAAGCTTCCACAGCCATGTGTGGCACCTGCAGCACCTCAGCAATTATCAGTTGTCATCTGACTGCAGCCCATCCAAGGCAGAGCCTGTGTGGCTTTTCCTGCTTAGGAATGGAGTGGCAGAACTGCAGCACTGGCAAAAATACCATAAATGATAGCAATGAACCAAGCACATTCCTCTGTCAAATGGCAAGGGTCAGGTACTTGTAGCAGGGATGCTTTTATGTGGTCCACGAGAACAAGAATCACTTCTAGGAAACCCCCAGTGAGAAAATTTCACACACAAAAATCTGAGGAAACAAAGCTGTGTGTGGGCAAGGATGCTGAATTCAAGACTAAGTTATATCTTATGAGGTTTTTGTCCAGCTCAAGCTTCAAGTCCCTCAAAATCAGGATTTTATTGTAGGAGAACTACCAGATATTTTTTGTGGGTCATGACCACCTTACACATTGGTGCTGGCAGAAAATGGGGTGTAAATGAAAGGAACAATTTTAGTCATATGGCAAAAGTGCTTTTACATTTTAATTGTGCTGCAGAAAGGTCAAGGTTGGATCTTTGTCAGTGGAGGCATAATTTGCTTTTATGGTTTTATGAATGTTTCAGTTTCTCCAAAACTGGAGAAGTAGGAACTGAGGAATATATCAAAATTTTTCTGTGCAGGCTGTTGCTTCTGATCTGATTTTAAAACAGTCTTCCAGAAGCATCCTGAAATTTTACTGGCTTATCCCACATTTCCAGAGTGACCATACAGTTCTCAAGGCAGGGCTAGAGCATCTCCAAGTTGAGAAGGACGCACCAGTGAAGTGTCCCAGCTGTGGTTTGTGGCAAGGGGAATCCGTATGTAATTATTTGCCTCTGAAAAAGGTTCTGTAGGCTTTCAGTTGTGTGAGGAGAGGGGTCAAGGGGGTACATGGCTCTTCAGTACCACACCATGCAGCTTCCAGCATACTCAGATGAGAAGGGGTGCTTTCCCTTTGCCAGGACACTTCCCATCCCCTTCCCATCAGCTTGTTTTGACCACTGGCAGCCCACTCACCTTGGCAGACACAGCAAACGCAGTTCTGTGAAGCCTCTAAAGGAGCTGCATAGAAGGAATAAGAATTTCCTTTCCCTTACCCAGTTTTCAGTCCCACACATCCCACATGACCTGGTCATGACACAGCTGCAAGTGAGACACCTTTAGCAAGAGCCTCATTCACACTGAGTTTTAGAAATAGGATCAGAAAGTTACGAAGAGAGAAGCTTGTCAAGAAAAAGCAGAATACTCTTGGTTCTGTGGCCAAATGTTAAGCACCATCCCCAGGTTCAAATGAATTTCCTGTATTTTCATTTCAATGAGCTACAGAATCACAGAATGGGTCAAATTTGAGAGGACCGCAGTGATCACATCCAAACTCCCGAAGGGTTGTCCTAGAGCACACAGCACAGCAGTGTGTCCAGATGCTTCTGGAATATCTCCAGTGAGGGAGACTCCACAACCTTTCTGGGCAATCTTTCCCAGTGCTTGGGCACTGCAGAGGGAAGTTCTTTTTTCATGTTCAGGTGGGATTTCCTGAGCCTCAGTTCCTGCCCGTTGCCTCTTGTCCCTTTGCCCGGCACCACCGAGCAGAGCCTGGTCCATCCTGGGGCCCCTCCCTGCAATAAATTTGAGAAGCATAATGCATTAACTTTGGGACCAGCGGTTTGCACCTGGGTGTAAACATTAAATAAACATAAACATAAACAAATGGGTGGCCATTCCTCTCCAAAGAGAAAGACCCTGGCCCTGTTATTTGCTGCAAGCAATCTGGGGATATGCCTGGAGTTGGTCCTGGACATTCTGCCCTGCAGTGGGAGAGAGCCCTGGTGCCTGCAAGTCCGCAGAGATAAGCATGGAACAGGGTGCCATATAAAAACTGGGGTAAAGTGATTTACTTAAGGATAAGACTGAGAAGACACTCCCACCCCTTGATTGCTTTAGCCCTGAAGTGCTGATGGAGCTGCAGGGAACCGAGTCTCTCAGGCGGGGCAATGGTTAATTCAGTGAGAAAACAGAAGAAGAATAGCTTGCTCCAGATTTAATTCCCACAGTCGTACCCTCTTACCTCTGTTGTAAACCTGAGGGCCTGAATGCAGACGGGAGTGTTTCTGTATAGAAATGCTTCTGACAATAAATATTGTGAAAATCAGCATTGTTTTGTTAAAAAAAAGAATGGATGTGCACCTCCAGTGACCTCTATTTTTCACTTCACTGAAGTGGTTATAACTGGCTTTACTTCTCCATCAGTGCCTTTGCTGTGGACACAAGGCATTGTTTTTACCTCATTGCCCGGATCCAGGTGTACTGAACTTTTTACTCACATTTCCAAATGCTGCCTCTGCCCCAAACTGGAGCAGACTGTGCTTTTGCAACAACAGCACTTTTAAAAGTTATTCCTGTGGTTATTCATGCTGAAGGAGCACCGAGGGTCGATGTGTAGGAACAATTTCCGTCCACAGCTCTGCTTAGTCTTCACTGACTCACCCACCAGCACGGGAACAGGGCAGGGGCTGGAGGGACGTGGGTGACAAGGGTGGGGACCGTGGATCTGTCCTTCAGAGGGTGATCGTGGGGGCTGAAGGCTGGCCCTGCGGTCAGGAGAGCATCAGATGTCGTGGGCCAAAATAAGGGTCAGGGCTCAGCCTGAGTATTGGAGAGAGACACACAGGGAAGCTCCTGGCAGGAGCTGGGGAAATCTGCCAAGCTCAGCAGAGAGGTCTCCCCCTCTCTGGTCTGTATCCAGCCCTGCTGAGGAACGGCCAAGCCAATGCCAGGAACTGGAAAGTAAAACTGCTCAGAGAGAGAAGGAAAAGAAAGAAAAAGAAACAAAAAGCAAAACGGGAAAGAAATCCAGGCTGAAAAGGAGGAAAGAACACCAGAGTGAAAGACCGGCATGCTGGAAATAATTTGTTCAGACTGAATCCGCTAGCGGAGGGGCAAAAATTTTGCTGTGCTTGGGAATGTCGCACTTGGACTCGCTGGTTTACTGACAGCATTTCTTCTGCTCCCCCTCCTGTGCTGAGCTAAAGCCAGTGAGCGAGATGGAGGGAGGGAGGGAGGGAGAAAAAGCGAGGCCAAGAGCTTTCTGCGGTCGGTGGGGGCCTATAAATAGCCGGTGAAGTCTTCTAATACCAATCGGGTGCGTCAGCAGGGCCCTCCCCGGCCCCGCTCCGCAGCAGCCGTGCCAGCGGGAGCGGGAGCTGCGGCGGCACCCGAGCCGAGCAGCTGGGCTCGGCAGGGATGGAGCCGGGAGAGGGAGGCCGGAGGTGCAGAGAGGGTTGAAAGCTGTCTGCCGCAGCCAGGCTCGGGGAGAAAAGGGGGGAAATGATCCACGCGTCCCTAAGAGCCGTCTTGCCTCGCCCGAGTGTTGCAAAGTGTGTTCTGGTTTCCGCTCTTGCGGATGCCCGGTTGGCACTGATAAATGCTCCTCACTGGAATAAATGGGTGTTCGGGGTCTGTGCCTCCTCCTGATTTGGACGTTGGGAGGGTTTCTGAAGTCCTGCTGTGCTGTTTGCTCCCCCAGCCCACTCCTCCTCCCCCCGTAGTAAAAGGTCAGAGGAAGCCGAGGAGCTGAAGTTGGGCAGATGCACAGGCTGGTTCAGTGCCACCACTTAGCGATCCCTCCTCTGCAGGTTTAAATGCTGCTCTCAAAGCTGACTAAAGGCAAAACTCTGAGAGATGCTAGTGAGCATTTCTTGCCCAAATTTTCCATCGCTGCCACCATCACACCACTGGAGAATGTCCTCCCATAAAATAAAACTGCTGCTCCTGCCTGGTCCTTTTTAACCATTGCTGCTTAATTCAGATTTCAGAACTGGAGTGATAGAGGACCTGGCCCTTGCTTTCCTGAGCTCCTGCTCTCATCCCTGTAGCAGCAAGATATGGTAAAGCACTTCTTCCACAGAACTTGTATCCAAGCTTAAAATGCTTGCATAATCACGGGGATGAATTTTTATACTGATTAAAATGAGACTCCAGTTATTCCCCTCCCCCTTTTTCTTTCAAAAATGCTATATTTTCTGAGCATCTGACCTGCTTCATATCAGTCATTTCTCCATCTCTTTTGTGTTGCTTAATTCCTCTTTGGAAGGTTTGGCAAACTTGGATGCAATTTGATGTATATGTGGAGGAGCCCAGTTAATAGACTTCTCCTTATCTTTTCCTAACTTCCTAAATTTCAGTGAGTCATAATGTCACTGATAAAAGGATAAGGATGGACTAGCCAAATCTCACTGGTTTCCATCCTCTTCCAAAATAAATTTTAAATCATGTGACATTGTTGAAGTTGCTCATGTCAATCCCATGGAAAGAAGCAGAGTAACCTGCTGATAAATTCTTCTGATATGGGTCTATTGGCTAAAAATCAACCTGTTAAGCAGAAGATTCCAGGTCACAGGCAGGCAAAGATCTTTCTGATCAGCTAATGTCTTGAGGTGTGTTCCTTTCCAAGGAAGGTGGTAATTTCTCCCAGATTTGGGGCTCTCCGTGGGGCCCACATCAATGTCCAGTGGAGGAACCATCTCTCCATGGCATCACACTGCACCCAGCAACTTGAGACCCCTTCAGGCATCCTAATTTCCTAAATTCCATGAAGATGGTCAAGCTCTGGAGCAGTGTGGAGTTGGCTAAGTGCAGCCTGTGCAGGAGGAGGTGCAGTTTTCTGTGGATATTTCAGTAGCCAGCAGGTTTACCAGTACAAAGCCCAGCACAAAAAGGGGATGATGAAGTTGTGGTTAATCTTTTTGGTATCAGTGGAGATCAGTGGCACATAAGGAACAGCCCATGGTGGGCTTTGCTGTGTCAAGAGACACTGCAGTGCTTGCAGCAAATGATAAAATGTCACAGAGAGAGCAGGACCTTCTCCACATAGAAACAGCTCACTTGAAGCTGGATCACTCCAAGCATCACTGTTTTATCAGTGTCTGAAAGCTTCAAAAACTTATTGTTGAGAGCATTTTAAAGGATAGATGGAGAATCCTGCCTCCCCTTCCAAAAAACCCACCCTAAAATCCACTGAATAAAATACTTTATATCAAACTTCTGTCTAGTCTGACTTTTAAGAGGAGACAGCGGAGTTGGAAACAATCAATAAATTACTATTGTAATATTATCTCATCTAAAATGTAAATATAATAAATTGTGCATTGAATCGAGCCAGGCTCACCCTCAGATGTGCTCTTTTGTTTCCCTTTCCTCCCAAGCCGTGTTCTGTACAGGTTGCATGAGCCTGTGGTAACACAATTGTGACCTGTCCTGTTTTCTCCATGCCAGACAAGTCCCACTCCTGAGGATGTGATGTCCTGGGTGTCCATGTCCTGCTGCTCACTCCATCGTGCAGAAGTGACTCCACCATTCTGCTTTTCCAGCTCTGCCTGCTCTCAGCAAAACACAACTGCAGCAGGAGCAGCCTCCCCAGGCAGACATGCCTCAGCCCTCAGGAAACCTCAAACCCTGTTTCCCCATCTCACAGTAGCTACCTCCATGTCTTTATTAATCTGAATAAATTTGGGTATGTGTATTTAATTGACAGGGAAAAATAAAATGTGACTTAAAAGAGGTTTAAAACATTTTTTTTTTTCCCTAACAGCGAGGTCCACGCTGACAACAGGATGATACCAGCTGGGATCTACCTTTCTGATCTGAAAATATGAGGATTACTCACATGTCTAAAAATAAGCCATGCTGAAATTCCCTTGTTGGATTAAGATCTAAACCCTGCAATTGTCACTTTTCCCACCAGTGTCAGTGGCTTAACTAAATATACTGTCCACATTGCTGCCTGATATTCCCAGATTGTTTCTCTTTCCCCTTTCACTGGAACTTCCCCATGTTTCTGTGAGTTTATTTTACTTTTTGGTTGCTTGCTTGTTCTTTTCACCAATTCATCATCTTTCCTGCTACATTCCTTTCCCCAGCCATGTATGATCTCCCATCCTGTCCTTTCCATTTCTTCTCCAAGGTTTGCCACCCACTGCTTCAAATTTGGGAGAAGATATCCAAACTACAAATTTCTGCAAGTGGTGGGAAAAGTATATACAAATTTATCCTGGATTTGTGTCTCTTCCATGCAAGAAAGGGTAGAAGTATTCCCAGGGTTGGGCCAGTTTGCTGGTAAGGACACTCTGACATCTGATAAGTGCTGTGCTGGCACAAAATCATTTCCAGGTGACACACAATCTTATGGTTTACTCTGATGAAAAAAGTGGACTCATGATTTAGCCACATGTGGAGAAACAACTAAGACCAGACATGAGGAAAAGGCAAGGATTTAATGTGAATCCAGCATTTTATTCTGTGCTTTGAAATAAAGAAGTTCACAAACAGATTTTTAATCTCTTAAAGATGCATGGAGTTTGACAGCACCCACATATGAGGAGAATATTAAACATTCTTGAAGAAAAATTACCTCTACAGGTGCTTTTCCTGGGTGCAAACCCTCCAGCTGTGGTCTTTACGTAGGAGAAGTTAAGTCACAAACATAATTTCTCATAATGCAGAGAAAGCTCCTCCCATCCTTGCTTACAATAAATTACATACTCTGTCCACAAAGAAATAAGTTTCCCTCTCTAAGCTGCTATTTTTCCCTCTTGTTCTTCCTCACCACTGCATTGATCAGTGTCTCAAAGAGGTCTTAATTTGAGAATTTTCCTAATGCACAATGTGTGCAAGATTAAGCTTTTTTCAAGGATTTGCTGGTACAAAAGAAATATATTTCACAATAAGAAGAACAATTGCCATTCTAAATATCAAAGCACCATGATACACACTTTATAGTTCTGCTCCAAAACACTTTTGTTTCAAATTCTCTCTTTTCAGGAGCTGCTTCTTCTGAAATTTCTCACTGTTGTTAAGTAGCCCAAAGGGGGATTTGTGCATGCGTGTGTGTGTGTGTGTGTGTGTGTGTGCATGGGAAGTTTGGCATAATTCATTCAGGATATTGAGGTAATGGGGTTATTCTAAGCATGAAACAAGCTAATTTTCATGCCTTTTGGAAGCTGTTCTCCTGTTTGCCTAATTTCAAATTGTTTCCCTCTTGAAAGGTTATTGTAACTGATGTGTCTGATGTGACCAGGGCAGCAGACCTGACCGGCTGGGACTGATCCTGACATGGGCACCAGGCTCTTCTCCATCACCTGGGTAAGTCCTGGCAGTGTGAGCACAAGCCACAGATAGGGCTGAGGGAAACCACTGCCTGCAGTCTCCTCACTCACTCCTCCCAGCAAGACCACTCCATCACCTGGAAGTCTTCTGGTACCCACCCAAAACAGATAGGCAAGTCCTTCAAATCTGGGAGGTGCTGGGCGTAATCTTTCCAGGCTCATTGCCTCGCTGGGCTGAGTGAACTGTGATTTTTACAGAGTGCACTCAGATCCTCTTTTCCTTACCAAAAAGAGGAGGCAAGCAGCAGCATCTGCTCTTACAAAGGACACATCCTCCAGTCCATCCCACCTCCAGCATGTTAGTCCAGTTAACCACAGGTTAGATGCTTTTTAGTGTATTTAGTTAGTGTATTTAGAGGACTGGAAGTGAATGAAACCTAAAATACCACTTACAGCACAGGAGGTTAGGTGCTGAACTGGTTTAGATGCTTTCAGACCTTCCCATCCCATCCTTGGCAACTCCTGCCAAGCTCCTACTTGTATCTTTAGGGATGAAATAAGGAGGTTGACCCATGAGCATGCACACTGGGCTTATGTGCCTCTGCTGAAAGCCTTTGAAATCCTTTCCCTCAATTTGATAAGGCAACAATTTGCAACTGATTTATGGCATATCCCAGTCCTTCTCACTGTTATCCTCAAAGTTCAATTGCAGTATGCATGATTCTGGTGATGATTTATAATACTCATAAACACTGCTACTGCTTCAGCTAAGGCCTGCATTCACCCCACAGTGCATATGATGCTGTTATTATGGATATGTAAAACACACATGACAAGAGATACTCAGGGATTTGGGGAGGCCAGACCCCCAAATTCCAGCATGATGGGATGTTGTGCCAGGCATAGGAGGGACAAAGGTTTGCCAAGGGAGGTTTAATTTCAGAGCTGTCCCCATGCTGCAGCTGGCAGGGGACCAGTGCAGCTCCTGGCATCCTTTCTCACCAGCTCAGGGTGGCTCTGATTTATGGCTGGCTCCAGTGGCCCTCCAAGGGCTGTCCCATCCAGTGACATCCACTCTCTCCTGGCCATCTCCCACGATTTCCACCCAAGCCTGGTTTTGGGCAGAGAAGTCAGGATTACTCTGCTTATACTTGGCGTATTTCGAGATCCCAGTTATACAGGAGGCTGTAAGCTTTATGGCAGACAAAATATTTGTGTGACAGGTGAATTAATCAATTAAACTGCTATTGGTAGTGGAACTGAGCATGTATGTCCCTGGCAGCTGAGAAGGTGCATTCCCAACCCCTGAAGCTGACGAAACAAAACAGATTACCACTGAAAATTTAATTCCAAACTGTGAAATGACAACCAAAAGAAAGGCTTTTGTTTTCCATCTCCTTTTTTCCTTGAACTGAACAGTACCTAACTGTTTAACATGCAGGGAAGGATTATTTATGTAGGGCTCTTGTGTAGGTAAAGCGCCACGTCCTTGGCCCTCTGCCCACATAGCTCAGTGCGGGATCTCTTGTTACAAATTGCAGCTGTGTAACATAACAGGAAACGTGAGGCTTTAAGTTATTCCACTGGAAAGATTAATTATTTGGAAAATAGTTATGCAGCAGCTTTGTGTATTTTTGGAGCAAAGGTGAGCACCTTAAATTTAAAGAAAGAAAGTTGCTGGGAAAATAAAAAGAGGAGCTTTGGGGAGTGAGAGAGTTTTGGGACAATATTATTTTATTTTATTTTTTTTTTAAATAGTGTTTGAAATGTCTGCTATCATGGAAAGAGCAAATCTGAGCTCCACAAAGGACAGCCCTGGCAGGGTGAGGGTGAAGGAGGATGGGGATCTGGACCTTGACCCTTCCCATCCAAAACCTCATCCATCTAATTAGGAGGAAGGTAGAGGAATCCTGCAGACAGGGGAGACAGATGAGAAGTGAGTTTGGAGGCACAGGCTCAGCGTGGAAGCTCCTGGTATCCCCAGAGAACGCTGGGACAACTGTGGAAAGACACAATATTCTGGGGACCCTCTTCCCTCCAGGCAAACACTCTTGAAAAGGCAAACCCTGCATCTGGAGGGGAACTTTTTCATGGGGCAGGGGATGGGGTGACAAGAGGTACTTCCTGCTCACCAAAGTAGTGTGGCCAGCAGGACCAGAGCAGTGATTGACCCTCTTATGCAGCACAAATGAGGCTGCACCTCAAACCCCGTCTTCAGTTTTGGAGCCCTCACTACAAGACGGACACTGAGGCGGTAGAGCATGTCCAGATAAGGTCAATAAAGCTGGGAAAGGGTCTGGAGAAGCTCCTAGGGAAGGACTGGAATAGGCTGCCTTGAGAAGTGGTGGAGTCACTGTCCTTGGAGGTATTTTAAAAATGTGTGGATGTGGCACCTGGTGACACGGTTTAGTGGTGGCCTTGGCTGTGCTGCGTTAATGGTTGGACTCGATGACCTTAAAGTCCTATTCCAACCTAAAGAAGACACAGTTCTGTGGCTTACAATTATATTCCAGTCCCTCAGCCTTCCCCAGGCAGCCCTGAGCTTCTCTATAGAGCCAAGCTCCCAGGATTTTAATTTGCTCCTCTGCATGTGAGCGATCACCCCAATTAAAAGAAACCACTCCAAGAGCCAACTCGCTGCTGCAGTGCCTAGGCATGGGTGACAGCCAAGTCCTCCCAGCTCCTCTGCAGATGCTTCCCAGTGACTTCACAGAGATCTGCGGCCAAAGCAAAATATCTCCCTGATTAGGATTCCTCTTAGATCCAAATGTGTTTAAATACTGGAGCCCTCTGGAGGGATGTGGTTTGGACAAAGACGTGGTGGTTATTTTTAGGCAGCACAATGCACCTTTTAGTAAAGTTTTTCCACTCAGACACTTAATGCGTGGCCATTTTGCAAGAGCAGCTGTTCCAGAGCTAGTTTTGAGCTAACCTGGTCTCCTGGGGCTGTTTCCCACTGCAGTGACAGGGATCTGGTGGTCTCTCTCTGTTTGCTCAGCTATAGCTGCCGATATTAAAGTCCCAAGGGAGAAACCCTTCAGCATGCACATCTCAATGGGTTTGGGGATGAAACTCATGAAAACTGTGACTTTTGGCCTGGCAGTTGTACTCTTGGGCCCCTCTCCTCTCCTGCAGGCAGAAGGAGCAGGCAAGAGGTGCTCCAGGAGCAACAAGATGTAGAATCCAAACCATGTCCATCATCCCTCCTTCAGTCAGCAGGCTGGGGAGGACTGTTTTCAAAGCAGCCCATTTTTCACAATCCCTACTGGGAAAAGGACAATTAATAATAGAAAGAAGATGCATTCAAGGTCTAAATGTCTCATAATTGATGCAGGACAGTCCATTATTTTTAATTTTTATGTTTCAGGTCCTGGCAAAGTAGAGCATCAGTTTAAGAAGGGGCATAAAGAAAGTTTCCTATAAAATCAAAAATGCTTCCTACATTAGTAGCAAACCAAACAGAGAGAGCAGTCTCTTAACTTTCCAAGCTTTTTATTTCTGCCTCACTTGCTGCTACCTCAGACTAACCCAAATCTCCATGTTTGTCTAATATAAAACCCCACATTTTTGCACAAGCCACAGTACTTTAGTTCTACCACAATAATTTGACATTCCACTATAGCAAATGTTACTGTATGAAACAAAACACTGGCTATTTAATGAAAAAACAAAAAACAAAAAACAAAAACAAAAAAAGGAGGAAATTATTTAATTTAATGTAGCCGTTTCAATGCATTTGATAGAAGACAGGAGGCATATTTTTCACCAGCCAAAAAATAACACTAGTCAAAGGCTACTTTCTTCACTGCATTCACACTTCATGTGGCTCTTGGCTCTTCTAAACCCATAAACACACTCCCAAAGCAGATTCCACAAAATTCTTCTGGTCTGGGACCTGAAGAATCCCACCCTGCCCCATAGCCCACATCACCTAAGTGACACCTGGAGAAATCATCTCTGGTATCACCACAGCACAAGTGAATTATAAGTCAGCTCTAAGCTACCTTGCATATCATTGCATACCACTAAGCTGTCCAAGAGAGGACCACAGTCATTCAAATGGAAAGAAAGACCTGGAGAACACCAGCTCTAACTCCTGCTGGGAGAAATATCTCTTCTGTCTTCTGGGGCATCGACTACAGGGACAATCCAGGATGACAAAATTCCTTCTTTGTGTTTTTCAGAGAACTGCTTGAAGTTGGGTGGGACAAGCAGAAGGCAAAAGTGATGTGTGTGGGGAAAAGGTCAGTGCATAAACTTTTTCCAAGGAAAAAAGAAGCCACTGTGCCTAGCAGAAATGTGGTTAGGTCTGAGGCTAGCAAAGGGTTCAGCTGAGAAACAAGGACAGCATAGATAAGCTGAGAAGCTTTCAAGAAACCAGGTCTTTTGGACAAAGCAACCAATCTTCTACACTGAAAAGTCACCTGAAGACAGAAGGTGCCTGGAAGAGCAAGCTTTTAGTGCCAGCTCACGTACAACCTCATTGTACAGCCAGAATTGACACCAGAGAGATTGGTTGACACAATGGTCTTTGGAGTTTGCCAAATAGCCAGATGTTCCTTGCCATGGGGGAATTATCTTCCTCACCCTGGCATCTGGTTCCTGTAGCTGCCCATAAAAGAAGGGGACAGGCACACTGTGCAGAGGGGCAGGTGGCACATTGCAATGGCTTTTTCAAACAATTACCAAGAAGAAGTATTACAACAATTTTTGGCTGAAAGGATACAGATAAACACTGAACAAGTTCTGCGAGTGTGGCTTAGGGAATCACTGAAATTAGTATTTATCTCTTGGTATTTCAGGGTGCTGGGGTAGATGATTTCAGGAATGAAGGATTATTTGGCAATAAAGTCCTGTTTCTGGTGCTGTGCAAAGAGCAGATCCTTAAGTGAGCAGGCAGGCAGGCTATGAGTTATCCTGTGCCCACTCACACTGATTCATACCCTGAGGGCAGAACACCAAGCTCTTGCTAACCTTCCTGCAGGGTTGGGCATTTCAGAAACTACAAAAGAACAAGCGAAGGGCTTCAAAAATAAGACAGAAAAAAATAATGATTATCTTCATACTCCATTCGAGCAATAAACAAAGTGTTTGTGTTAGAGGCTGTTGCAAACCTGGCATCTCAATTATGTGCTGGGGTCAGACTGCTGCCTCCACAGAGCTCTGTGGGGTCCTTCCCTCGAGGAAGGCATTTTCCAGGTGAGAAAAGCAGTGTGAGCACAGGAACCAAGGCTCCAGGTGCAAATCCCTTCCTGATGGGGGAGGGTTATCTGTTGCAGGTCCCCACGGGACAGAAATTACACCAGCCTCAGTGCTCCCTATCCTGACTACGAGGGTTTCCAGCCACTCCTTCCTACCTTTCCTTGGCTGCTGATCCCCCACCATCCCACTTTGGCCCTTGTTGATCTCTCTGGAGCTCAGAAGAGGCAATGGGAAGGTCGTAAGAAGAGAAGTCTGGAAAAATCAGGAATGCTTCCTAAAACCCTGGCTTGTGTGACATCCATCTGCTCAGAGCACACATTAGCGGGTTGTTTCTCCTAAATTGAAAGCTGCGATAAACTCAGCTGCTGTCAGCTCCCACACCATCTTTATCCTTCTGAGTTAATTGGTTGAGGTGAAAGGGGCTATTCCCACTTCACAGATAACTCCTGGCCTGCATGCTGGGGCAGACCTCTGCATCCTACTGTAACAGATCCTGGGCCTTTTTGATTTTCCCAGAGCTGCCAAGGGAGCAGGGAGGGGGTGCCAGTGGCAGCGGACATCCCAGGGATGCAGTTTGGACCACACGTGGTGGCCCTGCTCGGCTCCTGAGCACTGCTGGTGGAATCATGATGGAGCCTGGGAGACGTCTGAGCCACCAACACCAGCAATTAAGTGTAATTATCTAAGGGGAGGGAGTGTGTGTTACATGGAAACACAGTCCTGCCATGAGTGCTGATGTTCAGAGGTAAACACAGAGCTGAGTGGGGATATAAAAGTCAACTCTCTTTGAATTTTTATTATTTTTTTTAACACAGGCCTGCTCATTGTTACAGAGCTGAGCCTTAGGGGGTTGATTTCTTTACAGAGCCAGCATTCAGGTGTTTGAGGTGCACCCCAGTGCCCACCAGATGCCACAGTGGGACAATGACCTGGCCACATCCTCTGTGCAGAATGACCTCAGCAAATCCTACCCATGGGGGGGATTGGTGAGACACTGCCATGAGGAAGTAAGAAATCTCAGGAACTCTCAGTATGGTGGGAATTAGGGTGGAGAAGGTGAGTTGAGCATCCAAAGAATGGGTGAAGATGGGCCCTGAAAACTGGGTGTTCCCCATTTATGGTTTCTATGTGGTTTCAGTCACCTTAAGTGGGATTGAGCAGGAAAGGTAAAACAATGACCTAGATAACATTGCCAGGCAAAACAAAGGACAAGATGTTTGTTGGGGAGTAGCTCCTGGCTGGCTCCACTCAGGCTGCAAAGAGTTTACTCTTCTGAAGCCTAAATCTGAGATTAAAAGGAAGATCTCAAACATTAAAGGACCCCAGGGCCCAGACAGGGTTTGGGAAGGAGGGGAGTGGAGAGGCTGCAGAGCCATGCCCACTGAGGAGAGCCACACCTTCAAAATAAATAAAAAATGGCTTTACCTGGATGGGGCTGGTTTGATGTTACTCTACCAGCTGGCAAGGCTCATGTGTTGAGACCGAAGGGGTTCAGGGGGCACAAAATCCCAGACAGATGTGCCAGAGCCAGCTGGGGGAACGGTTCCTCTGCTTGGAGGGACCACTGTGCCACCTCCCGCTGGATCTCTCATGTTGGACAGCATGCAGCACATCAAAAGAGATGCCAACACCTCCTTACCCTGAAAAAGGAGCACCTGGGGGGAAAAAAAAGCATTGCAAGGAAAAAAATTTTGAAAAACGTCTCTCTTTGGGTTGAAGAAATGTTGGTGGCAAGATTTTCAAAAGTGGCTTGTAACTATAGAAAAAGAAGCCATGGGTTTGTGCCAAGGTCTCCTGAATTACCAGGGAAATGACCTTGGATCTGTCCCGATCAGGATTGAAGAGGTTGGAGCATTATATAACCTCAACTTTATATTACAAATGCCTCAGGACACTAGGGTTTTTACATATCAGGCAGAGTACTCAGTGAGAGGCTTTGAGGTGGGAATTGCAGCCCTCTATTTTTCTGAGCATCACAGAAATGTATCAAGGCCCTAGGGAACATTAATATATTTTATTGGACAAGCCACTAGAGCTGGAAACAGCTTGTCAGCTGTTGGGCACACAAAAGCTTCCAGAATAAAAGCAAAAAAACTTAAAAGCTTTTATAAAGTTCCCAGAAATCTCCCACTTTTGCCAACAACACCTTAAATAAACCATCAAAAGTAGCCAGACAAAAACTAAAAATACTCACAGAAGCCAAAGAAGTTCAGTAAGTGTGGATCAACTTTGGACAAATTATAGTTGCTTTGCTTGAAAGGCAAAATTTTTTCCTATACAATAAAAAAATCCTCCTTTTTTTTTCCAATTTTCTGTCAAGATATGAAAATTTAATGAAGAGATTGATTGAAAACCAGCCAGGCTCAACACAGGTGGAACTCTGACCTAAGCAGTTTTTATTGATTCAAAACTCTAATTTTTTTCTAAAAATAGCACTATAGGAAATCCCTGTGGATTGGCAGGGTATTCTTGTGGTTGGTGGGAGGGCCTGAGCTATCCAGGTTATCTTGAATGAACAAGACCTGATGGTGAGAGAAATATTAATATTATGAATGCACCTGAACTGGAGCATTCCAGCTCTGGAGCCCCATCCCATTTTGTGTTTGATCCTCTTCAGTGTCCAGGACCAGACAGCTCATAAGGCAGAAGCTCTTCCAGACACTGGACGTGGATTTCTGAGAAATTCAGTTGAAAAGACAAGTTAATTCAAGACAAAAGAGAATATTTCTCATTTTCTGTATCCTGCTTCCCTTGTTTTGTGAGTTGTAAGGAAGATTAGACAATTTCCTGTGAACCTGTACAGCTGAAGAATTACTTGATCACTTATTTCCCAGGCACTTGCTGCCTGCTTTGCCTGTCTAGAAGGCATTAAAAAAATTAAAAGCTTTTGCCCAAGTAAGAGGTTGGATATTACTTTGACATTTCTTATTCATATTCAAAATCTGCCATGTTGGGTCAAGCTGTAGGGTTTATCCCTGCACCTCCTCTCATTCTGGACACTTCTGCATCACAAGAAAAGGAGGATATTAAAAGCAAAGTCCACAGGTTGTGCTTTTTGTTTGCTCTGCAAAAGGAATTTCAGGGGAGGCTGATGTCACAGCACAACCACAGGCACCAAGGAAGGATTCCATGATCCATAGGCCAGGATTGAAATGAGGACTGCAGAGCAGCATCTCCTTCTCTCTGGGCTCCTTGTTGAGCTGAGGTTTTTGTCAAAGGCACAAACCCCCAGCCCCTTGCAACGCCAGACATTTGTTTAAGTCATGGCGGCTGCCAGAAGATAATAGCTGTCAGTGTAAAATTACAAATCATTCTGCATAATGCCATGCTGATTATCGTGAAAGCAGTGGCAGGATTTGAATTTTACTCCTTTTTTTTTTTTCTTTTTTTTTCTTTTTTGCCTTTGTTGCTCAAGGCTGCAGCCTCACTGAGGCAGCATTTTGTGCTCAGGTCTGCGTGGCTGGCCCCGATATCACTTCTGCATCACTCTTCTGCCATTCAACAAAAAGGTTCAGTGGGTACCTGAGGGCAGCTGGATGATCCTACAGCAAAGCATCCTTATGAAAATGCTCTTGCTCAGATTCCCTTCAGCAACAGCACGGGGGGGAAGCAATTTTCACCTTCCTTTTCATGGAAAGCCCAGAGAAGGGAAACACCAAAGCCTGAAGTCTCTTGGCCCTGCCTGCATTCACGACACAAGTGGCAAGAAAGGACTTTGCACTTGTATGCCTGGAGCCCTGGGGAGTGACACACCCAGCCACTCACCCTCATGTAGCATGATGCTGCCATCCACCAGAGCTCAGCTAACATCCACCACCTCAAGCGTTTACCCTCAGTATTGCTCTGTAGTCCTGGCTACCCTTCCCACAAAACCTGATTTAGATTGTTTAAGAAGAGCTCAGGTTAAACCATGACATCAGTGTCATCGTGTTTTTGCAATAGGAAGGTCCTGGAAATTTTGACCAGGGGGATAATTAATGAGGGATGCTTGGGAAGGTGCTATTTTGTGATGAGCATTTATCCAAAGGGAATCCTCGGCCAAGAGAGAATATTTTGCAGTCATGACAAAAGCTGGCACTTAATTCTACTTGCTGTGAAGGAAAAAAAGATCATTGTCAAAAAAAGATCATTTATTTCTCTCTGCTAGAGAATAAGAGACTCCTTGACTCAGGGACTTTGCTGTGGGGAGTCATCTGGATCAAAAAATAATTAAGAGAGATGTAGAAATGAAGTATGACAAGGGTCATAGTTATGAAACAAGAAGCAGAAGATGGGCTGGTCTTTTCACCTTACCCATCAGTAAACCCAGCTAATCCAACCACAAACAAAATGTATTTCATTGCCTCTGTCTGCCTGGGCAGCTGGGGCTGCTGAAATCACCCCTCCTGCAAAAAGCAGGAGAGTCCCTGGGGCATCAGTGAAGTGCTTGGACAGCCAGATGTGCCTGTTGGCTCCACACTGTGCCCTGCCTTGGTC